GGACACTGGGGCAGTGCTTGCCAAGGCCTGCCATGCCCTGAGGTGTCACTGGGATGGCCAGGACAGCCCCACAGCTCCAGGTGAGGCAGGCCTGATCTCCAGGGGTGGGGAAGGGAGGGGAAAACACATCCTGGACCAGCCAAAACTCRGCTGCRTGAGCCCAAGCAATGGCTCCAGGCWGCCTGGGGGGAGGCCAGCGTGGGGGAGGCTGGGCTATGATCTGTGCCACCCTGGCCACCCAAACTGGCCGTGGTGCCTCCCCAGGGGTACCTTGCCCAGCTGCAGGTCCGAGAGCGAGCAGGCATCGATGAAGGCCTGGGCAATCACRGACAGACAGGCGTCGATGTGATCTGTCTTGTCTATGTCAAACACAAACTGCGGGTTCTTCAGGATGTTCACCCAAAACCTCAGCGGCAGACTGCAAAGGGAAGGATCCAGGAATAAACAGCAGATGAATTTGGGTGTTCCAGAGTGAGCGGGGTGGAAATGCAGGAAAGATGATGATAGAAAGTGAGCAGTAGAGAGGAAAGCTGAGGAGATCATCCCCAATACAGACCCCTGCCTTGATAAGGGGACAGGCACACACCTTCAAGCCCAAGATGTTTATTCAGGAGGGCATGGCACGGACAGTGACTGCACATAAAGCCTTCCCTGGGCACACACATGGCCCTGCTCCTCAGCAGACCCACAGGCCAGACAGGCTCCAGCAGCTTTGCCCGTGTGGCTCTGTTGAGACTGTGCTCCCCACCTGATGCTCTTTGGAGCAATGGTGTCACCTCCTTTTCCCTTTTCCCTGACAGTAACCACCATCTGGTTCTGACAGTGAGCCTGGCCCCACAAAATGAATTTCATCTGTCTTTTTTTCTGCTCTCTCAYAATATTCTCCTTCAGTTATTTCACTGCTGATTTGGCCACAACACAGCTTTGGTCTATTGCTCACCCATCCCACCCTCCTCAGCAGATGAGAAGTGAAAGCCCCTGTAAGTCTTTGCTCTACAGGCCAACCAAGGTAGTAAAGGGCAGGCAGATGTGCTGCCCAGTGGTTTTATCTGCATGACTGCTCTCCCAGTAAAATTTAGTTTTAATTTTCACACACTGGGCTGGAAGCGGCTCCTGTCTCCAGAGTCTCCAGAGTGCTGAACGTCTCCTTGACATTCCCTCCATGCTCCCTGCTCTCTCTCAGTGCTTACTGCACTGTTTCCCCTCCACTCTGCCTCCTCCACCCCATTCCTGCTGTTTGTGTCCCTCAGCCCYGTTCCATCTGCTCCCAGTGCTGTGGTGCTCACCAGCACAGCCCTGTCCCAGCATCTGCTCCCAGAGCCCATGAGTGCCCTGGACACTCAGCCTGGACACAGAGATAAGTCAAGAAAAGTGTCCCCAGGGGCTGAAAAGGCCAAAAGCAAATGAAAAGGCTCCAGATATGCTGGTTTTAAAATTCCCCTGATGTTTTCAGACCTGACAGGATTTTGGACTCTGTCTCAGATCTCCAGTGCTTGCAGCTAACATCGTTGCTGTCTCCCATCATCCTGTTTCTCCTTTCATTATTTCTGTGTGCCAGTTCTTTCAGTGTTTTTTTCTGCCCATGCCTCCTCTTTCAGCTCACYGTTCCCCTGAGCTCCATATTTGTTCAAAGCTCTCCAATCCTGTGTTTGGTTTCATGTTTTGCAGCCCTCTCTGCCATCCTCCCTGTTTTCCAATCCCTCTTTTAGCAGCTGAATGATTAGTCCAGGGCACAGGGYTTTGCAGCTGCTGCTGCTGAGAGATGGAAGGAAGAAAAGGGAGATTTGCAAACCTGTTGGTTTTCCAGATGTGCAGAGTGTCAGGGTCTGTGATCCCTCTCTTCTCTGCCTGCTCCTCTAGGAAGTCAAAGAAATACTTGACAGCCACAGGCGGTTTATCATCTCGGATACTGAGAATGGCTTTGAACAAATCATCCAGGAACTTCTGGAGTGTGCCCTGCAGGACAAGAACACAGTGCACTCTGGGGAGAGCAGCAGCACCAAGGCCAGGAGGATACTGGAGGAGCTGCACACGAGGGAAATGTCTGAAGAGAAAGGGGATGCCAAAGCAGGGAGGGAATGGTTTGTTTGTGGATAGCGAGATAATGAACTTGCATTTGGGGTTAATTTCTTTTGGCATCGAGATTTTCTTTCTTACTGCTGGGATCTCACATCTGTGCTTGTTCTGTACAGCACAGACAACAAAGACTAGAGACTTGTGGCCATCCTTGTGATCTTTGCTTCAGTGAGGCACCATGCTGGGATTAAAAATAGGCCAGATCTGACCTCAGATTGCACAGACATTGCTCCCATAGCTGAGCATCTCCATCTCCTGTCCCAGCAGCATCTCTTTCTGTGGAGATGGTTCAGGTCTCAGCTGTGCAGTGCAAGCCCTGGGGCAGCCAGAATCCCTTTCATCTGCCCAGAGCCCAGTCCATCCCAGGGAGATCATGTGGGGAATCACACAGCAGCAAGGATGAGCTGGGAAGGACCCTGAGGAGCCCGACAGCCTCACTAAACATGCTCCAGCCATCCAGGAGAGGAGTGCCAGCACCTTCTGGGAGCAGCCAGCCCTTCCCTGGAGTGGCTTCTCTCATTAACATCCCACTAACATCCCAGCTGCCAGGAACGGGGCTGCTCTGGCTCCTACCTTGGTGGAGAGCAGCCGGGTCAGGTAAATCTCGGGAAGGACTTTCTTCCGATGGCTCTGTCTGTGGGATTTCTTATGTTCCACTGATTCATCTGTGGGGAGAACCTGGCMCCAGATAAAGCACATGGTCAGAGCACCCTTCTCTGGAAGTGTCACACTACATTCTCCTTTCAGCATAGAATTTCAACTGCATACAAAATTCAATTAAAAAGCAGTCCCTACTTTATAAACACATCTTTATATGGCTTTTAAAACATGTTTCATAATACTGTTTTCTGAGCTTTGTTTCTCCCGTGCCCTTTATTTCCTCTCTCACCTTAGATGSAGGAAATGAACCCATCCATCTCCCTTTGCATGGCCTGCCTGCCCCTGGGCTCTCACAGCCCTTKCTGACTGCACCTTGGGCTCCCAGCACAATGCACATGGCTTCTGCAGAAACCAGCTKTGCCTGCACTTGGGAAAAGCACAACATGTAGGAATACTGGCTTTTTAAAAACAAAAATTAACATTCTACTGGTCAGGTCAGTGAATTGCTGCTCTGTAATGACAAAACAATTGTCATTGTCTCACATGTGAACAGTTGGTTTCCCATCCCTTTTCCCTCCTTGCCTTGTGTGTGTGTGTGTGAGTGWGTGCTTGCTTCTATTTGAGCATGGAATCTCTTGCAGAGGAAAAAAACCCAAAGCAGGCAATAAAATATTGTTGTTGTCCATTACACCTCTTTTCATAAGAGCTTTTAGCAGCATTTAGCACTTTGTGCTTCCAGCACGGAACCCATGGACCTGCTCATCCCAGGAACAGGCAGAACGCCAGGAGCTCCCAGCAGGTGACAGCCAAAGCTTTGTGACACTGGGCCAAGCCATGCTCTGACCACGGCCCTCAGCTCTGTGTGCTGCCAGCAGCTCCACCAGACACTTCCATTCCTCTGCCATCCCAGGAACTCTTCATCCTGTCCCTCAGTTTATCTACAGATAAAGCTCATCTACAGATCACCTTTGTGCACCTCTTGAACCCTGCTGAAGAGAACTAATGAGCTCTAATCCAGCTTGTTCATCACATCTGACACTACAGACACAATTTAAATATCAGCCAGGCTGAGACCTCCACTTTCATCACAGAGTCCAGTGCAGGAGAGACAGGGGATGCTGTGCACTCTGCATCCTTGCTATCATGACAGCAGGACATGTGTGGGGAAGCAGAGCCCCCCATGTGCCCCCCATGTGCCCCCCATGTGCCCCCATGTGCCCCCCATGTGCCCCACGGGTGGCAGTGCCACTGCAGAGTGGGTGTCCTGGGGTGATGGCTCTGCTCCCCACAGAGGGGCAGGAAGGGACCCACATGCAGCCACCATCCCTGCAGCCAGAGCAGGATCCTTACCAAGTGGAAGTACTTCTCMGTGTCCAAATCCTTCACTGTGAAGAAGAGAGACACAGCAGCTCAGTCAGGGAGCCCAAACTGAAATGCTCTGACAATGCAAGCACTCCTGCCCATCACCAGCAGCAGGGCAAGAGCAGTGAGATGTTACCTCTGCTCAGCGTGGTGTCCTTCTTGTCTGTCAAACTCATAGCCAGGGATGCCCCTTCAGGGATCTGTGGAGACAGGGAAGAACACAGACTGATGGTGGGGTCACGTAGGATGGAGGGTTACCAGTGTCCTCCTGGAAGATCCCAGCAGCTGGGGATGCTGGTGCAGTCATGGATCTGCCACAAACATCCCTTGAACCCACCCTGCCCAACCCCTGCCCCCCAATATGTGCAAAGGGAATCTTCAGCACAATTACAAGACAGTGAGATTCCCAAACCCGATGGCAACTGGGCAAATAGGCAAACCCAAGATACATGTTTGGGATGTCAACACCAGGTGATCTGAAAAGGAAGGAGAACTGTGCTGTGCAGGTGCTGGTTTGCCTTTCCCAGAATGAGAGCAGGGGGTGGCTCAGCCCTGTGGGGCACCTTGCCAGCACTTGGCTGTGCAGCACAACTCTCACCCCGATAACCACATTCATGAGCACTCAGCTCCACTTTGGTTTTCCATGCACAGCTACAGACCAGTGAGAATTATGATTCCAGGCAGACCAGGGAATATGAAAATCATTAAGTATTTGTGGTTTCATTTAATTTTAAACAGAAAAACAGTCAAGAAAACAATCTGATTYGCCATGTTTCCTCCTATTTTTGGCTTTGGTTCCTCGATGGTATCCCCAGGCCCTGCTCAGAGCAGGCACTGACAGTTGTAGCTGTGATTTCAGCAGGAGTGTGGATCAAGAGCACAGWGATACTGATCAGCCAGACTGGTGGCCCTTGGGAACAAGAGCTTTTTCCCCTCCTCTTTCTCTTGTCAGTAATAACTTGTTTTGCATGAAGAGTGTTAATTAGTTTCTGTGTGTTGCAATATTAACGAGATGCTCGCCAGGGCAGATGTCTATTCCCTGGAAGCTCTGACGGAGCTATGGCAACCTCCCTGCTCGTTCCTGACGTTCTGTTTTTGGAGGGGACGCAGCTTGCCCTGGAGGCCAGGCAGGCTCCGAGGAGGTGGAGTTCCCTTTACCTTGTAATGTGCYAAAGTGTTGAGTTTCTTCCTGCCATCCTCCACCACCGAGGTGTCATCGAGGTCCCGCAGGATGTAGCTGTCAGTGCTGGTGGCAAACCACTCTGACCAGAGAGAGGAGAGAGGTGAGACCCAGAGAGGAGAGAGGTGAGACCCAGAGAGGAGAGAGGTGAGACCCAGAGAGGAGAGAGGTGAGACCCAGAGAGGAGAG